TTTCTTGGACATTGGAGCCAAATCAAACGATTAGGAAGTGATTCGTCTAAGTACGCATGTACAATGCCATGAGCACCCTGGAGCACATAGTCTACATTTACTTTGCGAGACTTATGAGACTCTTTGTTTCAGAGATCTTTAATCAGCACTTGCTGGACTCTTTCTATCACTTCCTACCTAATGAAGTATGCTGAGTCTAAGTATGCACCTACCGGCTAAGTACGCAGAACCCTCCCAAGTTCAAGGTGCTGCATAGGCGAGAGACTACTGTACTCCTGCTTTCGAGGTGCTCGGCTTTCAACTGAAGCAGTTCGATAAGTTCATATATTGACTCCGGTAGAGTTCGTTACAGATGTGCGTACATTCTCTCCGTCCATCATGCGGTCGGGTTTTTCAAGAAAGTCTGGGTCAATAGATCTGCAGAGAGCTGTTGTTGGAGTGGTTGATTATTTTACGGAAATATTGTTTACATCTACCACCGATGTGGATTGCTACGAGCTTGGTATACGAGAGATGTTTGGAACATATAATATGATCGTCAGGGATTTCGCAGTTCTTCCGCTGACTTGTGTAAGGGGTTTCGTGCACTCGTGCATCGGAGTGTCTCTGAAGACATCTATGGAGGAAAGAATGTAGAGGTTATTAGTGACTGTTAGTCACACGTTTCTTGTTTTGCTATTTGGACCTGTCTTGTGTGACCGGTTTTCCTTACCTTTCCTGAAAGGTTTGATAGATCTTAACATTCCCTCTATATGTACCTGAGGTCTATATTACCGATTTTTGTCACACTTGAAATCAATCAGCACATCCTGATCCTGACCGTTATCATAACGATGAACCCTGGTAGAAAAGAGTTTTACTTTATTAGGAGCTGAGAACATATGGGAGAAGGAAACCCTTCGTTCAATCATTCTATATAAATAAGATTAGAGAAAAACGAAGAACAAGGACATCATGGGCCTAAGTAGTGTGGACAACGTAGATAATTTTACAGTTTACCGTAACTGGATTTGGAATTCTCCTTACTGTCGCCATTCTCTGTAGATTCGGATTCGATCTTCTCAGCTACAGCAGATGTCCAAGGCCTAGGAAGACTGATTTTGCAGCCACAACTGTGGCTGCAAAATAAGTTCACACATCTCATGAGAAAACACACCTGATAATTTGAAAAAACCGCTCGTTTGATGATATAATCACTCTTGAAGATAAATTAGTCCCCACAGTACATCCCTTCCTCTTGATTATTTTCGCAACTCGTTTTTTCACTACAATGAGAAATTTATGAGTGCAGCTTTTCTACTGAGAACTACCGTTCAATCATTTCTTATAAAAAAGATAAGAAAATAACGAATAACAAGGATATCATGGGCCTAAGTAGTATGGGACAGCGTAGATAAAATTTACAGTCTACCGTACCTGGATATGCAGTTTGGAATTCTCCTTACTGTCGCCATTGTCGATTCCGATTTGATCTTCTCACCTTCAGCAGATGTCAAAGGCCTAGGAAGAGAAGGTTGTTCCCACAACTGTTGTCTGCAGAATAAGTTCACACAACTAATGAGAAAACACACCTGATAAACTGAAAAACCCGTTCGTTTGATGATACAATCACTCTTGAAGGTAAATTAGTTTGTACAGGACACGTAACTTCCTCTTGATTAATTCCGCAACTCACTTTTTCACTACTATGTGAAGATTATGAGTGCAGCGTTTCTACTGAGAACTTTGTTGTAAGGAGATACAGAAGAGTTCTCTAGCCCGCTATTATCCTAACTTCCTTACAAATACTCTTCGGATACATGTAGATCAGCTTATACTCTGCGACAGTTGTAGTTGAGAGTACGTCAGTCTGTAAGTCTTGTATTGTCTTGTCTACAGCATTAGAAGCATATTTAATATTTGACCTTCTTGTTCTATGGTTTGCTTTTTCTATGTCTTTGTTTACCGTAAAAGCGGACATGGGTTTTCGAAGCGCGTGGAGGCTACCACTCATCTTCTCTTTGAATCTCTTGTATATTAATACTTGTAATACGGATTTTAACCGCGTTAACACCATGCTAGATAAATGATATCTAACATGTACTTAAAACATTGTTTACACTTCAAAGTAGCAACTATTGTGTACGTATGGTACTAAGTCAACATAGCAGGCAATCACATCAGTGTGTGCTTCCTTGGAGTCATTCATCCATCCTTTCATACTTTGATTCGAGACGAAGGATGATGGTCAGGTTCACTAGAAAACAGTTCGGAGTTTAGGACCCAAAGCTCAGGAGAGCCCAGACTTATCACCCTCAGTCAATAGTTCTCTTCTAGTGTTCGCGCAAGAATGAATTTTTTTATCTTGCATTGTGATAGTTCATGTTGCATTCAGGTGACTAGCATTAATGAACTTATCTTTGTTCTCATCTATCTATGTCTGACATGACTTAAACGCAAATCTCAAACCGTTTGGATAGGATCAAAACATGGAAAAAAATTCATTGTTTATGTACGCGGTACCCCACTTTCTCTGAGGGCACCACGTAGCGAGAATGACTACCATGGAACTATCTTAGTCAGGAAGCGCTAGCGCTGTGAATCCGTCTCATTTAGGGTTCTCAGAGATCTGCGCAAACTCTTTTCATCAACAATCTAGATTTCTTGCTCTTTCTCGTCGCTGTAGCTGTCACGCAACTGAAGCTCGTTTACCGTTTGCCATCATGTAAATGCTGTGGCTATAACTTTCTAGATGAAATGTCTGATGCATATTATTCAAAAATCTCGGATGATTTAATTTGCTTCTCATTGTAGCCTTGACTAACATTAAAGTGTGAATGTAGTAATCCGCGCAAATACATGCCGTCAAGTTCTCACTCTGCTGTTGATAGAATTCTGAAGGTAGTCACGCCCACAAATACATGCTGTCAAGCTCTCCCTCTGCTCTTAATAAAATTCATTAAGAACAAAATGGACGTAAGCCACTACCGATTACCTATTTCAGGAAGTTGGTGTAAGGTCTGCTAGATCTTCTACAGTATCTCTACCATATCAAAGTTGCTGGTGCATTTCTCTCCTAATTTTCAAAGCATGACTAGATGAGTTCCTTCCAAATCACAAGGGCTTCGCTGTGTCTATCCTCATCCCTAGTACATCGTTATTTCTTCCACACGTAGGGATTGGATGTATCTGCTTGTAATCGAACTAGAGCTTCATTAGCGTCTTATCGAGTGATCACTCGATAAGACGTTTGTCAGCTCTCTTCTCATTTCAAGTTGAAAGTCCCTAAATAGAGTCTGTCTTCAATACTGATTTGCGTTGACAGTGAAGCAAATGAGGTATACTAGTTTTTGACTTAGAATGCATTTAGGCCATGTCTTTCCTCATACTTCACCATCCCGAGAGATACATTTGGAAATTCTGAATCAAGTCAGCGTGGTTTGTGTTGAGCTTTGGGCGAGTAACGGGTAGTGTTGCCTTTGATATTTTGTCTCGAGGTTCTCAACCCATATCACGATGTTCATCAAATAATTTGACTGGTATTCCACTTTGCAACTACTATATGCTCAACTGCTTTCTCAAGTGTTTGTCGGAGACCTTCAACATTCTTGCAGTTTAAGCATGCGTGGCTCTCGAAACCACCATGCCCAGGCCGACCTTGAAGTGGATCAGGGTTGGGAACCTCTATAATATGAATACCCTCCGCTCCCAAAAGTAACCAAGCTCCTCTTTACGGAAGCTCTGATCCATCTGGACTAGTCATCGAACCTATTGGAATAAATAAAACATTGTTAGTTATTTGATGAAAGCGGTTCGTTACTCAAAGATGTTGGAATGCATCCTCTGCTATATTTTATTTCCTCCTATGTCTAAGACTGACATATAACTGTAAAACTAAATGGTACACATACCCAAAATACCACGGTAAAGATACAACAATTTCTCGATTTCTCCAGGTTCTTGCAGCAACTTGATTCAGCCCTGTAAACTGGACTGCATTGTTGTATATATATACGAGTTTATCGTTCGATGTGTTTCAGGCTACAAACTTTGTATAATGTACACCTTCATTTCTCTTGAACTCTGACACAGGAAATACAATACTTCGCATATGGTTGTATATGCCAGTTTTTTTAGTTCCTTGCTCTATTATATCATCTCGAACTATTCTCCACTACCTAATAAGGATATGAAATGGTAATAACCACTTTAGAGCGAAAATAAGTGCAATCATACTGAAAGAGACTTCATTCCTACATTGTTACTTCAAATTTTTGGTCTCGAAACTCTTCTTCATTAATCATTTTGGCCGACATGATTTGCGAAGAGTGTATATGAGTTGTGATTCTTTGAAGGTTAAGTAACTTCACTGAAGTAGAGGAGGGTTGGAAAGGAGTAAACGCGATGCAGTAGAGTGCAGATAGGAAAAGATTACGGAATGCTAAGAAGTAGGACGGTGTCTCAATGTAAACAATTCTTTGGCTTTACACGCATGCTATTCCGCTCTTGTGATTCATTCAGAGCCGTTGCCGTTAATCTTATTGAACTTGACCCCTGCACATAGCAAGTTACAAGGGTTTTCTGAACATATAATTCTTGACGGTCACGAACAAGGTTTGATTGGTAGGTTGGTCAGAGATTTTCTTAGATATGGTTGCTTACAGCATGGAATCACTATAAAGTTATGACTAACCAAAGTAGAGCTAATAGAACAGTAGCTGTTTTTACTTTTGAGTAGGAGGTATAGAGAGAGCTTTCGCGCGTGTAAAACTTATCTTTCATATACTTCACTTGAAGTTTTACTTTCTTGGATACTTTCATCATGTTTCTCGACTTAGAAGTACTGTCCGAGAATGTCCGTTTCACCTGGAGAAGACTTTTTGTAGTTTCGTAGATTTTATGACATGTTTTTTTGTATTCAGCCCTCAAATGCCACATTACTCCGTTTCTCACTCAGCTGTTTTGCCTGCAACTGTAGAAATGATTTCAGAGATGGAATTTATTGACTTCAAGTACAGTTATATCCATTTGTGCGAATACACTGAAATGGGAAATCTGTGAATAAAGATTTTTGGCAGGCCCCGCTCCAGTCACACATGTACACCCGTCTTCGATTGCAATGGTCTTGGACATAGGTGACACGGTGATCATGAAGCGAGCTGCGTGAGGATCACCGACTGTCAATCTCTAAGTTAGAGACCACTGGAAGTGTCTCCAGGCAGCGAGGAAGACATTGGAAATGGCCGGACTGCTAGCTGGAGATGCAGCCACGTTGGCTCTGGCAGGGGGTGGGGCTGCATCCATGAGTGGAAAGCTAGAAGAACCCGATCATTCGAGTTCAAATTGGTACTTTTCTAGGGAAGAGATTGAGAAACGCTCTCCTTCGCGGATGGATGGAATCGATTTGAAGAAGGAGACTTATTTTCGAAAATCGTATTGTACGTTCCTGCAGGATCTCGGCATGTGCCTTAAAGTGTAAGTCTCTCTCAATCTTCCTTGTAATTGCGTTAAAGTAGGCTCCTTGTGTATTGCTTCCGAGACTTGACACCTTTAAACAAATAGTATAGTTTATCAATTTATTTTAGTAGACACTTTGGGGCGTACTTTCTGTCGTGTCTAACTAAGTCCATCCAAGAATCGTCAATTTTACCTGTAAGCTTCCGCTGGATTTTGAACTTGAATGACTAGTTTTAACTAATCTAAGGGAGTACCTCGGCCTGTATGTCGAGTGCATCGTAAACAACCCGCGGGTTTTCTATACGTCATCTTGACATATTTTTTAAACTCATTTTGATTCTGCAGTCCTCAGGTGACCATAGCAACGGCCATTGTGTTCTGTCATCGATTTTTCCTGCGGCAGTCTCACATGAAAAATGACAGACATGTAAGCTTCCTACTTTTTCGTCTACCACAGCTTGATAATATGGATGACGTAAGCTGTTGTATTTTTTTTCGAGTTGAAAGATCCCACAGGGCCTCTTATGCTTTGAAAGGTCTAGAGCTTGTTGATTGATTCGTCGCTTGCTATTTAAATATATTCGTTCCAGTTACTCCATCATGGCTCACTTGCTATCGTGTGCAGATGATTGCAACCATTTGTATGTTCTTGGCGGGCAAGGTCGAGGAGACTCCTCGGCCTTTGAGGGATGTCATTCTTATGTCCTATGAAATAAGACACAAGAAGGACCCCACAGCTGTAGCCAAAATCAAACAAAAGGTTGGTTTCTGGTCAACCTCGTATTTTTGGTATCATGAATCTAGAATTTGTCTTGCAGAAGACTAATGACAAGTGAAGTGCGGTTCTTGGAGTTATAAATCAGAGAGGTGAGCATGTTCCTTTGGTGAACTATTTAGTTTAGAAATGATATATGATATGTCTTCATAGTGTATATTCCCTTATCATACTCGTTGGTTTCATACTGGAAGTCCCTAGCAACGAAGGATTTCCATTTCGATTATAATTGATTTGAATTCATGCACATTGTTCAATTGAATCCTTTGGTATCGTTTGTAAGTTCTGGGCTCACCACCCTTCGTTGGTTGTCTAAGAAATATGTCGTATGTGGTATCGTGAACAGGATGTGTATGAACAGCAAAAAGAGCTCGTACTGGTTGGAGAGCGACTTGTTCTCACTACTTTGGGATTTGATCTGAATATTCATCACCCTTACAAGCCACTGGTTGCAGCTATCAAAAAGTTCAAAGTGGCTCAAAATGCATTGGCACAAGTGGCGTGGAATTTTGTTAACGACGGGTAAGCCGAGCACACTATTTTCCTCGGCAGTTCCCTGCTTGATACTTAATTTGACGGAAAATGATATGGGGATTGGATTCCTTGTGGTGTGAGGAACCTCTTCTTTTAGTGGTTCTCTGTTTATTTATGAGTACACCAGAATGAAGCAGTGAAAGGGATGTGCAGGCTACGCACATCGCTATGCTTGCAGTTTAAGCCTCACCACATTGCTGCTGGGGCTATCTTCCTCGCGGCTAAGTTTCTGAAGGTCAAGCTTCCATCCGATGGGGAGAAGGTCTGGTGGCAGGAGTTTGAGGTCACTCCGCGGCAGCTGGAAGGTTTGCTCATCTCTCATTCTTACTTGTGGAAGTTTTCGATTCGGGTTTTTAGACATCGTAGAAGGTAAGGTTTTGTGATCATGAAGGTTTTGATAGTTCATTATAGAGAGTAGATCTTTCATTATCCTGAAGACTAGACTAGACAGGTATGGATTATGGATTTCAGTTTGAATCTCAGTTGGAAGTTCATATTTTTTTTTAGCCATTATTTCAGCTTTACATTTGCCAGCTCACTAATCACGTATGCACATTGCAGTGGTACTACCAGTTTGTTGTTTTCATTTGCATCTGTAGCTAAACATATAATTTTGTTTAGTTACAGAGTGTAGAAATAGTCCAATGTGGTTGTAGTCGCAATTGTATGAATGAGACTGTAGAGCCCTGAGGTCGTAGACACACTTTGCTTCGCACATTAAGAGTGAACATCAGAGAAGTAAGAACATACGTCGGATGAAGATGAGTTGCGCGGGTCATCTTTATTTGGAACAGGTTGGCATGAGGGAAGACCATTGATCATATCTTAAGCTCGCCCTGAATCGCTTCTCTTTTTGTTCTTTGTTTCTGGTGACCATAGACTCGTTTTTTGACATTCAGATCGCTACAAGTTTCATCAATATGTCCTTACATATATCATATTACCCCATTTACCATTTACCATTTACCATTTACCTATCTTTGTACTAGATTGATCGTCTGGAGCTTCTTCCCACCCAACATCCGGCCTGTTTTTTTGTGTGTTGATTGATTGAAGTTATCTTGTTTCGTCCTTGATTGCCATGTAGGTCTTTGAGTTATGTAGGTGCTTATCTTAATTCAGAGCTTATCGATTGCATCTATTTTCTTCTATTATTCTGGTAGGCCTTGCCTGTCTCTCTTTTTACTGTCTGTTTTTGTAATCTTGAAGTAGTGGTCTGTCGAGTCATTTTAGGTTCCAACCAATCCTTCAAAGATTACTACTGGCTGATTGATTGAATGCATGAGGTTACTTACTGCGCAAAGACCTCAGAGTTTCATTATTTAGTGTATGTCACCGTTCTAACGGTTTAGATGTGTTCTTCACACTTGATTCGCTCTGTGTGGATACTCTCATCGGACTGCTCGAGTAATATCTTAGATACTTATCGGAACACGAATGAAAGTACGTTCGAGGCTTGGATGACCTCAGTTACAATTTGTGAGAAGAAAAGCCGGCAAATATAATTGCAGTAATTTGATGCCTCTATTTGAAGATCTAACAAGCACCGTTTTTCTGGTGTGCAGAAGTGAGCAACCAGATGCTGGAGTTGTATGAGCAAAACAAATCTGGAGGGGCCAATCCTTCGAGGTCAAGTGACCCCGGCCCAAGTTCTGGGGTTGTGAATAGAAGTAAAGGTGGAGAGGCTGTGCCATCTTCCAATGGACACCATTGGAATCAAAATTCTTCGAACGTCGCTGACAAGGGTGACAAAAGCGCTCAGGCAGGAAAGAACGACGAGGTTGTTCCTTCCAGCAGGAGAGATGATGAGTACGAAGTATCAGCGAGCCATGCCCCGTCATCTGGATACGAGAAACATGAGAATGGTCAGCTGGATAATGAATACGAACCAGCGTACGAGAATGGGTCTGTAACTATTTCCGTTCAAGAGACGGTAGTGGAAACTTCGCGGACAGTTAAGTCTACTTCTAATGGTGCTGTGAAGCATGAATCTAAGGAGGAGCTTATCGTCGGGAATTTGGAGGAAGGTCAGATTAAAGAGGAATTGCGAGAGAAGAAGCAGACGACGGAGACGAGGGTTAAGTCTGAATCAGGTACACTCCTGCGCAAAACTAGAGTGAAAGTCGAAGTGGAGGATAGGAAGTCTAATATAGTAGACGGCCTTGGAGGAAGGGAGGTGACAGAAGCGAAGTCCTCTTTGGAAGAGAGAGAAGTCGAGGATGTGGTTGAGAGCAAACCAGTTGCTGAAGTCCAAAGTGATCCAGCGAAGGTTAAACCTGAAGTGGATGATGAAGAACCCAAGAAGTCTCGGTTGACCAGTATTGAGGATGTAAATACGGATAGAGTGAAAGCGCTGAAAAGGCGGAAGTCTCGTGGGGAAGGACTTGATTCAAGACCTTCTGCCGTCAAAGTGGAGTCGACTGACGAGGAAGCTGATTGGGAGAGGGAGTTAGAGAGTGGGATTGAGGCCGAGGCGGAGAAGTTAAGACAAGAGCGTAGAGACAACAAGAGCAAGTCTTCACAGAAAGTGGAACATGATACTGCGGATGGAAAGAAGGAACGGACTGATGATGGAGACGCCGGAGCGAAAAGGAGGAGGTCGAACGAAGACGACGGCATGAGCGAAAGGAAACGTACGAAGTCTACTGAAAGGGGGGAGCGAGGGGATTGGACGGACGGAGATGTCGAAAGAAGCAAGGTAGGTGCTGGAGCTCCCGAACGTGTGGAAGATGGTGAGCTGCCCAGTTCGAGTACTGCCCATGACCAGTCCCGGTCTTCACCACGTCAGTCGGACAGGAGGTCTCTTCCTCCTTCAGGTTCTCATGACAAGGCCGGCAGTCCGTCCACATCGAAAAGGCATCGGGATCATAATGGTCGTAGGGATGGGCATAGGAACGATCGCGTTGCTCACAGTACGAGGGAGCGCGATTATCATCAGTCCTCTCACCATCATCATCAACACCGTACGGATGCAGATAGAGACAGGCATCATCACAAAGACCGTGATTGGCAGGACCGGGATCACAAGAAAGTCCGACACGCAGACCATGGTAGTTAACCATGGTAGCAGAGGACTGAATATAAGTGTTTGCTGCTTTTCAGAGTGTTACCAAGCAGACAGCTAACTTTGAAGGGTAGAGAGACCTTCTTTCCTGTATGGGGTATGTTAATCGCACCCCGGGGTATCTTTTAAAGATGGATCGTTGACTATATTTTCAGTCTTTGATTTGTCTGATGTAGACTAATCGAGAAGCTAGCAGGTAATACTTTTCAGACCTTCACTTCTTGATCGAAAGCAATGAATCCTAGCTTAGATACACGAGTAGCGATGGTTTTTAGTAGGATGCATTCATTTGAGTCGTCAACGGGATTCAAGAACCTTTGATGTTTTGCGTAACCGGCCGTAAAGTCAGTCAGAAAGCAAGTTGCCTTCATCAGTTAATACTGGAAGACAGCTTCCTGAGATTAGATCTATAAATTTTCTTCATACGTACTGTTCAACTTACACATGATCGTTTGTAATAAATGTCAGTGTTACGATCTTCTGAGATTTCCTCCTGGCTGCGTTTAGGTTTCAACAGGTCCAAGTTCTATGATCGACCCTCTAGAGAATATTTTTGAAATATGAAGCTGGGGCCGTGTTTTTGCAAGACCAATGCCACCAAATTGGGATTTGTCAAGTTCCCGTTGTGATCGTTAATGTGGCAAGGACTTTGGCTATGTCTGTTTGTGTACATGTCCAACAGACGTTTCCCCAGCTTTCAACGGCTGTGCCATATTTTCTCTTCCCAATAGCTCTCTTTGAAGTCTCACATTCAAGGACGACAGTAAGTGTCGCATCGCAGTCAACCTTACGGAGTCCGTTTCCGCTATGTGACCCCGAGTTAGGAGCGCATTGTAGTTAATTTGATGTGGTTTGCTCTGAAAGTTGTCTCAGAGCAATATAGTTGGCATGTCTCGAACACTCGACGTAGATTTTTCCAGTTTTCACGCCGAGTGGTGTGTATAACTACTATGTTCGAGATCTACCGAAAGGTCAAGTTGCTCACCCGAGGTAGCCATTTACTTTAAATACTAACATTTAGCAGGGTACCCCGAACAAAGTTTTAATTCAAATTATCCTGCTCTTTAAGGGTCTAAGGATATTCAAAGTACACCCTGCCTGCTCACCTGGCGATAGTGTGTTACTATTATATACGAATGTCATTCCCAGGTTCCAGACCTCCTGTAAGGTGGGAAGAATGTTGAAGGCACCTTCCAGCACCATGTATTCCCTAATAAGCAGGGGAAGTCTGCAAGCTAGCTGCTAGCTCGTGCAAAGGTTGCACGTTAAGTAGCATTTTCTACTCGTCACCACGCATCGGAACCGCAGCTGCAAACAGTTGAGTCTGAACAGTTTTGACGGTGACATCTAGTAGACGCGGGCAGTTAATAGCCAGGTGCGATGCCGATGCAGTCTTCCCGCAGCATTGTCAAAAAAGATGGAAAAAAAGGGGACAGAGTGGAAATGTTTATCGTAAAAGATGCGGTGTTGGCAAAATGTAATGGCCTTTCCTTACATCCAGTCTGTTCAGTCCTGTCGGCAGACAACTGGAGGTGAGAAGAACATACCGTACAGGCCGGCTGCTTCCTGGTATCTAAAATTTTCTCTCCAGTTTACATTACGGTTCTTCACTTTGGGTATTACTATTACATGACTCCTCCTTTTGAGCTTTACATTCTGTCGGCCACGCTGTCCATGGTTCACATGAAACTCTCTACAATTTGGACAGAAACAATTCTGTTGAACTTTTGTTGAGAATAGTAATGAAACAATTGTGTCGAACTTTGGTTGCACATCAGTATAGAAAGCCATGTGTGGTGATGACTGTACTTCTCTCGAGTCTCCAATTTCAGTGTACTTTCTAGTTGAGAAAAAGTGGAACAACACAATAAATGTTAATATTACAGTATACATCGTACTACCAAGTGTGGCGCCTGTTCGATTCTCTATCAAAGTACGAAGGTGTCACAGCCCTGGATGGATGCCTTCGTTTACGACTTATGCTTCTTTTCCCTCAAGATATAAGTCTAGAAATAAACTTGGAACAGCTTTAGAAGAGGCTTTGACTTCTTGTCACCTCACCAACGGAAGTGAATCTTATTCTCTTCTCACCGTCTACTGTAGAAGTTAAATTTTCTATTCGTCCTATTTTTCCATTCACTTTCAAAATCAGCATTGTAGATGGCACCTGATGACTATACGTTTAAATGTTTTATAGATTTTCCAATGTTCAATATCTCAACTATAAATGACATCTTCATGAGCTTGTTAAGATGCATTGCTCTCGTGAATCTCGCGTATGATTGAACCTGAATGCAGTAGACAAGGTAATGCAACTTGAAAATAAATCTTAACCTCATTCGATGGTCCCACTGCAAGTTTCAAATCTTACAACAAATTTAATTGAAATATTTGCAGGTCTGACCTGAATAGATAGGTGGTGAGCGATCTAAATCATCTCAAGTTATGAACTAATCACATTTAATTGTGCCTCATATATATTCATCTCTACAGAAGTATTCTTTTCATAATGCGAGAAGTGTTATTGATATTTTTATTACACGGACTACTTAAAAATTCATGTTAGTGGCATTGTTATCATCAGATTCAAATACTTATTAAGATTTGATGACTTTTGTACGTGATATAAACTTAAACTAAGTCTAGACAGATAATGCATATAATTTTCATACAGTTCATTCACATAATTTAGTCCAGATTTCATGTTAGTAGAACGGCTGGTTTATATATATATATATATATATATAGACCTACACATAAACTTGTACACAACTATGATTCTATGCACGGATGATTCTATCAACGTCAGATCATGTCTTGAGCCTTCACTTTTATAATTTTTGATATTTATTTTCATATTAGTATTGCTTTTAGTTCATTATGTAACTTGACTATGATACACTTGAGATATATGCTTGGTAGTCTTTGTGGGAGTGATTCATGCACACCGTTTTATCTTGTGAACTAGAGAATAAAGTATGAATCTTTGGTTGAAGATCTATTCATCAAGTACATCATTGTAAACTTATTTAACTTTCACTTATCAGACAATCGACCAAACTATACCACTATATTTGGTTTACATATGACTCACTTTGGCTTAATCATAGGATTGACTTCAAAATCACATTACATATTTACCTGATTGATTGATAATAGGGATGGTCACGGCTAACCGCTAGCCGGCTAATATATTTTGTTAGCCAGCTAAGCCGACGGCTAGCCAGTAAGGCTACGAAGAGAATCACATAAGGAATCTTCATTGCTGTCATCCGGTCAAGATGACAACAATTGTGCCTTCTGGCCCAGAAGCTAGTTTGCGCTTGATACCAACTTCTGTACTTAGACAACGTACTTAGACTCGATAGCACGTCGAGATAAATTCCAAATCCGAAATAGACTTACTTGGCAAAAGCGTTTTGTTGTGATGACTTAAATCAGAAGATTGAATCACACACTTCGACAGGTAGCATTTGGGTCTCGCTGCCAGGTCAGCGAGTCGGGGGGTCCAAGGCGGAGACGTAGTCAGAGAGAACGAGTCTCCGTAGTCTCCGCCTTCCCGTTAGATAATCTACTAGATTTTCAGTCAGAGAGAACGAGAGTAGACTACAACGAGATCTTCTCACAAGTGGTTAGACATATCTCAATCAGGTTGTTGCTAGCAATAGTTGCACATCAAGATCTAGAACTTGAGCAATTAGATGTGAAAACAACTTTCTTACATGAAGAGTTGGAGGAGGAAATATATATGACGCAGCCAGATGGATTCTAGGTTCTAGGAAAAGAGAATCATGTCTGCAAGTTGAAGAAGTTCTTATATGGACTAGAGCAGTCCCCAAGGCAGTGGTATAAGCGATTTGACAGTTACATGAAGCAGCTAGGCTACAACAGAAGTCTGTATGATTGTTGTGTGTACTACAATGAGGTACAGGGTGGTTCACGCAATTATCTGGTTCTGTATGTTGATGATATGCTGATTCCTGCTAAGAGTAAGTCAAACATTGAGAAGTTGAAGACTTCACTCAGTGTAGAATTTCATATGAAAGATTTGGGTGCTGCTCGTAAGATTCTGGGAGTTGAAATCTATAGGGAAAGGAAGAAGAGAAAACTCTTCCTCTCACAAGAAGGGTACATCAAGAAGATGTTAAGTAGATTTGGAATATCTTCAACCAAGCCTATAGATACTCCAATGGCTTCAAACTGCAAGTTGGAAATGTACTCAGTTCAGACTGAAGAGGAGAAGGAGTACATGTCTCGAGTCCCATATGCTAGTGTAGTTGGGAGTCTAATGTATGCTATGGTCTGCACTCGACCAAATCTAGCATTCACTGTTAGTGTGGTAAGTCGATACATGGTCAACCCTGGAAAGGAACATTGGCAACCTGTGAAGAGGATTTTCAAGTATCTTAGAGGTAACTCTAATATCGGTCTCTGTTATGGAAATGACACTAAGTGCTTAGTTGTTGGTTATACAGATTCTGATTATGTTGGAGATGTGGACAGTAGGAGATCTATGACTAGTTATGTGTTCACTCTGGGAGGTTCTGTGGTAAGCTGGAAGGCAACTCTACAGCCTACAGTTACTTTGTCTACTACAGAGGCAGAGTATATGGCTTTGATAGAAGCTGCTAAGGAGGGAATATGACTAAAGGGACTAGTTAATGATCTAGGCCTACATCAAGATCAGTCTTTAGTGTATTGTGACAGCTTGAGTGCAATATGCTTAACCAAGGATCAAGTCCATCATGAGAAGACAAAGCACATTGATGTCAAGTACCATTTTTTGAGGAATGAGAAGAGAATCCATGTGAAGAAAGTAGGGACAGCTGATAACCCTGTTGATATGTTCACCAAATCAGTTCCTGAGAGCAAGTTTCAACACTTTCTGGACTTGCTCAACATTAGAGATCATTAGTTGCACTGTGGGGCAATTCTGAGGCAGAGAGAGAAGTCTGTTTATCTGGCACTATTATGGTGTATCTGAAGAGTCTACATGGAGGATTCAAGTCAAGGAGGAAATTTGTTGTGATGACTTAAATCCGAAGACTAAATCACACACTTTGACAAGTAGCACTAGGGTCTCGCTCTGTGGTCTCACAATGTTCTCAAATAAAACACATGTGATAAGAGCAAGCGAAGTCTAAAATCCACTCATCTCTCCCGGTGAGGAAAGAGGTTCACAAGACATAGCTTTCATCATTGTTGATCACAACATTTGCAGAGGAATCAACATATTACTCTCTCTTCTCATGTGGCTTACTACGACAATCCTTTTTCATATTGCTCAGCTTGCCACACTTCCAACACTTCATCTCCTTCTTGTTAACTTCCCTTGACTTGAATCGGTTTTGCGACTTGCTGACGCTAGTAGATCACTTATTCAAACTCCCACGAGTGACATAGAGAGCGGTAGAAGAAGAAGAAAGCATTGAAGAAGAAACCCGCTTTTGTTGAATGTCGTCCGTCAACAAAGCTGTCACTACCTCGTTGTATGTGATGCTCTCTTTGTCTCGATGAAGCAACACACGAGATAGAGTGTGATATGATGATGACAAGGAACTTAAAAGCTACAATGCCTTTTTCTCATCACTCAAATCCTCATTCAAATTCAAAAGATCCAACAACAAATCATTGAAAGCATCAATGAGATCTTGGATCTTTGTACCTTCCACCATTTTGAAGCTCATCAGCTTTAACGATGTGAAAAGTCGATTTGACAATTTCGATTTGATTTCATGTGCTACTTCGCTTGAAGCGCTTCAAACATAGTTGTCGTAGTCTCCAACTTCTCCACTTGCGTGATACCAATTGATAGGCTCAAACATCCAGATCGATAAGCACGCACGACAGTCACAACACCAAGATAACGTGGTTCAACTTTCACATGCTACGTCCACGGGCAAGAGCAAAACTTCACTAAAGCAGAGATGATTACACGGCCTCCATAGCCGAGCGCTACTCCAACCTGTTCACTTGTTTCATCACATTTGGCTTCAAGTAGAGAGTGACAATACTCATAGCTTGATCTTGGATCTCATTCCAATCCTCGTCATCAACATTCAGGGGTTTAGGCTTGAGAACCTTCCCCAAGTTCATTGCCTTGATCACATTCTTGAATTGCTGTTCCCACAGGAAATAGTCGGTACGGCCATCAAACCGTTCAACTTCAAACCTCGGTCCACCAACCTTAGATAGCGCCATAGGTTTGATCGGCTGAAGACATTACGGAATGACTTCAACAGGATATTCACAGAGAAAGCTTGACTCCTCGCTTTTGTCGTGTGATTGCAGGTATTCAGCACCTTCAGCAACAATAGGAACAAGTTCCACTCCTTGCTTCAAGTTACTCATGCCCAGATTTCGCTCATCGTGTTAACCGTTCTCAACACTTAGTCCAAAAAAATGTTAAGAATTGAAAGTTCTCGGAATTTAAATCTGAGACCACTCACACGTAGTCCACAAGCTAACACACTAGAATGTGAAAATGGTTTGTCAAAATCAACTCCAAATAAAAAGTTATTAACCCTTGAGTTTAGGGGGTAAAAACTTGAATCTAGACCCCCAAGGAAATCTTTCCTACCAAAACTTTACTCAAAGTCTATTTCCAAAACCGTCTTTTAAACTACGTGCTCAACTAGCTTGAAAACCATCTCGTAAAATTTGAGCTCAAACGGATATCATTTGTATACCCTAATCCACCAAAAATGCCAAAAAATCAACTCTCTATTTGAATTTTTTTTGACAGTAGTCCTCAGAGTTTCTTCGTGCAACTTACTCTCACTATGGAGCTTGGTTGAACATTTCGTCTTCCGACCCAACTATTTCGAGTACCTTCCAACTTCACTATCTTGGATC